GTTCGGGCCGTCAGGCCGGGGGGAAGAAGGGAACCCGTGCCCCACTGCACAAGGCGTAGGGAGCTGACCCGGGCCTTCGGGGGCAGGGACCGCGCCCCAGCGTTGCAGAGATGAGCCAGATCGCGAGGTCTAAGGTTAGGAGGCCCAGGAAGGTGACCCGCGTCCTCAGGTAGAGAGGAGGAGACCTGACACAAGCTCATAGAGGTGGTCTGTGATCCAGGATTGAGGCGAGGCCAGTTCGGGCCTCAGAAGGGACAATCGGTGCCAGGGGCGCAGCGGAGGCCTGGCCTGGTCCGGACCGGGAAGGTCCTCCATCTATTGCAAGGGTTTCTTGGCACTGACAGACAGTCCAGAGCCCTCAGATAAGGAAGGAGAACTTCTCCCAAACACTTATGATCCCCGAAAGCCAAGGGGCAAAGTACCCACACTTTCTTGAAGGCATTGAAGTCCGGGGGAATATGGTCCTATGGCTCTGTTTATCTGTCAGTCCGTGTGACAGCCCCAGAGTTGGCTGGGGTAGCCCCTTAGTGACAGGCAAGTTAGCAGACAGTCGGCTCCAGCACACGCTTTAATACCCTAAGTTCTTTTCTAACTAGGTTATGTATGAGTGGTTGTGAGGATCAAATAAAGGAGAAAGTGCTTTGGAAACTGTAATTTCCTATCTTTATGAATGGCCTCCGGATATCTCCCCCACTTGGCCCAAACCAGAAGAACCATTCCAGGTTGTAACAGGTACCCTGCAAATTGGAGCCAGGTGCTCCCACCTCCAACCCCAACAGGTTTTTAAGGCCTTGGCTAAGTAGAGCAGGGCTTAGGAACTGTGGTAGAATTAACTTTACTATCAAACCTTCCCTTGTATAATGGACTTAGTTGTAGAGCATTTCATTTTTTTTTTAGTACATAAAAAATTCACTTTACTATTTGAGTTTGGAAACTTTGCAGGTTTGTTTACTTAGAATTTGTTCATGTTACTGAGTGATTAAATCCTACCTTAATTTGCTGTCTAAACTATTTTTTTTAAAGGCTCTTGTAATCAAATTTCATATGCCTTTTTAAAATAAATTGGTTTGTCACATTAATATTATTTGATAAACCTCAGCATGAGTACTATGCTGGGTTATTTCAGCTATGGCCTCCGGCTAAAGACATGATCAAGTCTTTAAGAATGTAACAGACTTCTGTTCAAATCCAATCTAGTAATTTAATAGTTGTATAACCTGGGGCAAATTACTTAACTCCTTTCAATTTTCATTTCCTCATCCAGAAAATGAAGGTAATAATAATTATGTGCTGCGAGGTTGTTGTGAGAGTGAAATGAGATAATGTATATGGGAAGACTTATTGTAGAGACTAATGCATTATAGATATTCAACAAATGTTTCTTCTCTCTTTCCCCTGTTAGTAACTCATAATTGAAGAAACTGTTGCATTTATGGACTGATATTGAAAGAGACTATGTAACTGTGTACAAACTGAATTTCACAGAAAAGATCAACCTGGTGGTATCAGGAATGTCCCAGGGATTCTTTTGGGTTCGATTTTAGCTTTTGCAGATTTGAGGACTTATCAGTTTACCCAGGACTGATGAAAATTAATTCTCATTAACCACATTTGTTAGATGCTAATAAATAAACCAGAATGTCACATAGATCCTTTCGGTTGACTGGAATAATTTCTTGTCTGCTCTCTAGCAAACTCCTTTTTTGGTGTCATAGTACCTTGGAAACCCTATTGATAACAAGAAACTGCTTGCCAAGCATAGAATCAGAGCAAAGAGAGTTGATAGTCTTGTGGGATATTTCATCCATGCTGTTTAGAACCTAGAGAAGCTTTCCTGCTTCGTTGTTGTAGCACACCAATCTAGTGTTTTGTGCCCTCCTTACATGAACAATCATTGAAACATTCTTAGTCTTTCTCCGCTCTCACCCAGTTTTGGTTTCTGATAATAATAACTTGGAAATATATTTAATTAGAATACCATTTACTTAGGTTATGTTAGTAATTATTTTTATAGTGCTTTACAGTTTAGAAAGTGCTTTCATAGCTATTAGCTCACTTGATCTTCTGTGAAGTAGGTAAGGCAAGTGCTATCCCCATTTTACAGTTGAGGAAAGAAGTGCAGAGAGCTTTAGTGACTTCATCAAAGTTTCAAGGCTTAGTGGTGAAATGAGGTTGAGTCTCAGTCATCTGAATCCTCATATAATGCCCTCCTTTTCATTTCAGGCTAACTTCATCCAGTCTATGTTGAGTCACATTTGTTTCCTTTTCGGAAGATGTAATTTTCTGACTTTGTCACCAAATTTTGGAGATGCCCCCCAAATAAAGCCCAGGGACCTTTGAGCACTGTAATGTTTATGCAAGTGCAATCATAATACCTAACATTTATTGAGCATTTACTACTATGAGGCCCTGCGTTAATTTAAGCCTTTTCTATACATTATCTCATGGGATCTTCACAATAGTCTTAAGAGATAAATACTATTATTGCCACATATCCCCCATTTTATAGATAAGAAAACTGAGGCATAGGGAGGCTAAGAACTGGTCCAAGGCCATGCAGTTAGGAAGTGGTAAACTAGGATTGAAACCCAGGCAGTTTGGCTCCCGAGCTTCGGCCGCTGTGCTTTATTTCTTTGTAAGTGGTTTGCTAAACCCAAAGAAACAAGCTTTTGGAATGGAAAATTTTAGAATAAAGTTTTTAAAATAAATCTTCAATTAGTTGACATTCAATATTAGTTCATATTAGTTTCCTGTGTACAGTATAGTGATTAGACATTTACATTCTAAACTTATTAAAAGAAACGATCACTCACCTGAGTTTCCACTCTTGCCAAAGAAACGTGCTATTTGCTTTTCTCTGCTTCTTAATCCCTTTTCTTTTATTCCCTCAGCCTCTGTCCCTTTGGCATCAATTTAGTATAAATTATGTGCTTTTGCTTTAATGAAAAATAAATGTCAATTACTGGGTTTTAGGAATGGCTGGGTTTCTGTTTAGTTTCTATTCGGAACTGCTACAAAGATTATTGGTAGTGTTCAGTTCAATATTTATTGAATTTCCGCAGTATGCTGGTCATTGAATTAGGTCTTGAGGTAACAATGAACTGGAGATCCATGTCTTCTAAGACTAGTGGAGAAGGCAGTAATTTAACAAGTTATTTCTACATACTTGTACCAAGTGCTCCATTATACAAAGGGTCTTGGGAACACAGATTCCCAATGGATGAAGGATACATCCTTCAGTCTGAGATATTCTGGAAAGGTTTTCCAAGGAAGTCACACCTGACCTGAGTTTTAAAGGATGAGTAGAATTTAGGGGAAGAATGAACAATATTTAATATGTGAAAAGGTTTTCAGTACTTTAAGAATTAGCATATGGTGATCTGTCAACACAAATTTAATTGAAGTGTTTGCTTCGATTTTCCTAAGTGATGTTGGACCAGAACAGCTTCTTGCTTCAAAGTTTTCTTTAGTGGATTGTCTTTGTTCTTGGCAAAATGCCATTGCAATAAAGAACCAGATGCAACTTTCCATTGTAATCACAGCCCATTTTACTGAACACCTATTCACAGCAAAAAAGATATTTATTTTTTAGGTTAGTGTCCATGAGAAAGGAGTAAGATTTTTTGACAATATTTCCCAGATTGTGTTTCCTCTAATATTTTTCTGCTGAATGTTGATAGATATATGATTTTAGAGAGAGAGATAGAGACTAGAGAGGGGAGAGAGAGACTCAGGGTGTTGGCGTGGGTACAGTCCACTGACCTCCTTTGGATGTCCGCAGTTTGTGTGTGTGTGTGTGTGTGTGTGTGTGTTAGTTCTGGGGGAAATAAGTTAGGTAAATGTCCTGTGCATTGTAAGATGTTTAGCTGTATCCTTGACAAAAAAATGTCTGCAGACATTTGTCAAATGTCTTTTGGGGGAACTGACTCCCAGCTTGAGAACCACTGGTCTAGACTGTAAGTCCTTGAAGGCAGAGGCTCTGCCTTTTCCCTGAGTCCACAGTGCAAGTTAGATATATAGTTAACGAATAAGTGTTTGTTGAATAAATAAACTAGACCTTATGATCAGGAAATATCAGATTGTCCAGATTATAAACCTATCAGACCATAAACAAGAAAGCTTAGCATTATTAGTACTGTTTTACTATCTAAATTAGCAAGTAAATTGATAAATATAACTGCTGTATAATCTCCTATCTGTATAAACCATAATAATGCAGGGTAATTTGTAGAAGATTAATGGATCATCTCCATCCTGAACACAATGATGGCCCCCAGAGTCTAGAGATGGTTTTATAAATTTAAAAATTATAAATGCATATAATTTTGTAAGCCTAGCTATAGATCTAATGATACTCATAAAAGGTTTTCTTCACTAACCTACATACTATCTAATTTTGATGTTCCCTATACTTAAAATAATAGCAACATGGTAAAATATTAGAAATTTAGGGAACCTTAGGTCAAAAGATACCCTAAATTCTCTATATCAGAGTATGTTTAATGAATAATAAGATCTCAATAATTGTGACTATCATCAACATCATCATCATCATCATCATCATTATTATCATCATCATGAAGGGAATATTATCCTTTATGACCAATTAGCACACCGAATATCTTTCAATCTCTTCAGGACCTCCAACCAGCCTGTTTCAGCCACCTCGTCGTCCTGGCCTTGGCACTGTTGGAAAACCAATTCGACTGTTAGCCAATCATTTTCAGGTTCAAATTCCTAAAATAGATGTATATCACTATGATGTGGATATTAAACCAGAAAAACGGCCTCGTAGAGTCAACAGGTAAGGATTAGAAAGAATAGACTTCTATGTATTTAAATGCATGTAATTTATTTATTATGTATCATACTGTTCTCTAAATTCTTTCAACATGTAGGCTTTGTTTTTTGCTAAGATGATCAGTTTGTGGATCCACATTTGCTGCCTAATACTTGATTATCCTCCAAAGATTCTAACAGAATGATGAGTACATTGTTGTTCAATCAGTAAATACTTATTGAAGGAAGAAGAAAGGTCACTCTTTTGTTGTCCAACAGTAGCAGAAATTTATATTTTACATTAGTGCCTATGGGAAATAGAACTATCTAAAAATTCAATTTTTATGGTTAAATGTTGGTATTGGACATGAGAAAAATGTAAATGTAAAGACAGAAGAATCATCTTGGAGTATTGAAAAAAGTAAGCTGAGTGAGAAACTCTATTTAATTCTAGCGTTATCCAAGAGGGATCTGGATGAGATGATTTAAGAATTGTGGTCTGTATGACAGGAATTTACCAAGTGTGAAGACAGCCCTATAGCAAATATTATTACAGTGTGCTAAGAACACCTACTTTCCTTTCCTCTGTTTCCACACTATCATAGTCACGCAGTCTTTAATATTAAGATTCTTGCTTCTCTAGGATGCTCTTGCTATCACTAACATTGGTAAGACAGAGCAGCTGACTTTTCATTGACTCTAGCATTCCAAAATCTCACAGGGCCTGCATACAGTGTGATCTGGCATATCGGCAAGAACACTTAAGTTATGCATGCTAGATTGAGAGAAAGGTTCTCATTCTAAAAAGAAAGAAACTACATTGGTAATCTTTATGAGGATATTTTACAACATTCCCTTCTCTGCTTGGGAGCACTTTAGAATAAAACAAGACAGTATGCAGAATAATAAATTGCCAGCAGTAGTCAAAGGAGTTGACTTATTCCTTTGAGTATAATACATCTTAGATTTATTGATGCTCAGATTTCTGAATTTCTGCCCACTCTCTTTTCCAAAACCAGTATACTTGAATAAGGATGTTTATTTGTTAACAAACTTATCATTCAGTTGTGAACGTGCCATATATAGATACCAAAGAGACGTTATTCTTATAAGGGTATGTTTTTCATAGGGGAGGAATTTGGAAAGCAGGAGTTTGATAGGATGCCGTAAATTTTAACCCCTCTTTCCTTTTATTCCCCCCCTTTTGTTATCATCTCGTAGTTGCTTTTGTTCACTTGTTGCTACCTTTCTTTAGTTAAGTATTTTTTTAATTACTTGAATCAGTTGTCACCTTAACCCTTACTTTTTCCAAGGAATTTTGAACTGAATTTAGATGATTAGGGTATCATGACAGTTTACTTAATGTTCACTATTTCTCAAAGCTAACCTCCACTATCTCCATTATTATTAAGGGAGGTGGTAGATACAATGGTGCGGCACTTTAAGATGCAAATATTTGGTGATCGGCAGCCTGGCTACGATGGTAAAAGAAACATGTACACAGCACACCCACTGCCAATTGGACGGGATAGGGTAAGTGTTAACAGTAAGAAATATTTATTAGACTTAGGTCATTTAGTAGTAATTACATAGGACAAAAATATTTCCCTTTCTAATAACAATTCAATTCTTAGTTGTTTCTCATAGTGATGATAGATTTGTTTTTCTGTCTGTATTCTCTTGTCCCCTTAGTTAATTGATAATTGAAGATGAGACGAGCATTAGCATTTAGGTTGGTTATGTCTTCTTTACATATATTCTAAATTTCTACTATCTGAATCCGAACAATGTATTTTTTATAAATTATAGAATATTATATAACACCCACTTATGAAAATATTGATAATACCATGATAACTTTTTAAAATATTTATTTTTAAAATTAGAAAGCAAAATGTAAATATTTGCTCATTGTAAACTTATTCAGACATTCAAGAAATGCTGTGATTTTTTGCCTTTCCACCTGTCTGCACCCCTCAATCCCATTTTTCTTTTCAGAAGAAACTACTCTAATAGTTTGGTATGTATCCTTCCAGATCTTTTCATGTGCATTAATTATTTGTACATTTGCTTATAAACATTCTTATTTGTTTTCATATTGTTCTATGATATATTTTTTCATTTAACAATATGTCTGGGAGATGTTTCCATTTCTGTACATTTAAATCTACCTTCTTATTTTTTTAATTCAAAATTTTTTATCATGGTAAGGTATACATAAAATTTACGATTTTAATCCCTTTTAAATGTACAGTTCAGTGGCATTAAGTATATTCATATTGTTGTGCAGTTGTGACCACTATCCATCTCTCGAACTTTTTAGCATCTCACCCTGAAACTCTGTACCCACTGAACAGTAGCCCCCCATTTCCTCCTCCCCCTGTCCCTGATAACCACTATTCTCCTTTCTATCTCTATGAATTTGACTATTCTAGGTATCTCATATAAGTGCAATCATACAATAGTTGTCATTCTGTGTCTGTCTTGTTTCACTGAGCATAAAGCTTTCAAGGTTAATCCATGTTATAGCATCTACCTTATTTTTAAACTATTGCATAATATTTGATGTTGAATTATTCCCCTATTGATGGACATGTAGGTTGTTTCCAATGTTTTGCAATTACAGAAAGTGTTAAATGTCTTTATGCATACACTGTATTGAATATTCCTGGGATCTTTCAGCCTTTATAAATATGTATGTATATGTATTTTTCCATAGGTTGATATGGAAGTAACCCTTCCAGGAGAGGGTAAAGACCAAACCTTTAAGGTGTCTGTTCAGTGGGTGTCAGTTGTGAGCCTTCAGTTGCTTTTAGAAGCATTAGCTGGGCATTTGAATGAAGTCCCAGATGACTCAGTACAAGCACTTGATGTTATCACAAGACACCTTCCCTCTATGAGGTTAGTACCTTAGTTGGAATTCTTTGCCACAGATGTCCAACTTGTTTTTAATAGTTTGCGTTGGAGCCATTGAAAGGTTTCTGCATAAGTCATAGTTCATACTTGCTTTCAGTTTGCAAAGTTGGGAGCGAAATGAAAGACTTTTCAAGCTTTTATTGTGAAACATGCAAACTTTTTATTTCTTCAGGTACACTCCAGTGGGCCGTTCCTTCTTCTCACCTCCTGAAGGCTACTACCACCCTCTGGGAGGGGGCAGGGAGGTCTGGTTTGGCTTTCATCAGTCTGTGAGACCTGCTATGTGGAATATGATGCTCAATATTGATGGTAGGCTGGAACGCTCTTTACTGTTTACTCTTTTGGTTGTTTTTCTCGGTCCTTTCCCTTTCCCTGAAGCTAAGTATTCTTCCTCTCTGTTTGTTAGTATCTGCAACTGCTTTCTACCGGGCTCAGCCTATCATTGAGTTCATGTGCGAGGTTTTAGACATTCAGAACATCAATGAGCAGACCAAACCTCTAACAGACTCTCAGCGTGTCAAGTTTACCAAAGAAATCAGAGGTAGGTATTTTCATTACTATAGTCTTGGAGAGGCATTTCAGCATGGTGCAAGGAACATAGTCTTGGAGTCGAACTTACCTGGGTTTCCCATCCAATCCCAGCTAGTTATATCAGTGGAACCTTGGGTAAATTACTTAACCACTGGGAGCTTTAGTTTATTCATTTTCAAGGTAAGGATAATAATATGTGTCTTGTAAGATTGTGGTGAGAATTAAATGCGATTAGATGTATAAAGCTTCTGTCACAGTACCTAGCACATATCAGGTACTTGGTAACTATTACCCTTACTCATTTAAACACTTCCATTTTAATAAAATAATACCAGTTTATTTTCCTTTTGGAATTTCTTTTCTTCTTTGCTTGTGATTAGTTATCTTCTCTCACTAGAATATAAGCTTCATTAAGGCTTTCTCGAGACCCAAAAAGAGGCACCAGAAAATAACTGATACTTAATAGATATTTATTGAATGAAGTAATAAATTAAAGTGGTTGCAAATCTTAAGTCATCTGGGTTCTAATATTTTCTGCTTAGCTGAGGCTTTTTGCCTATACATGATAAAATTGTTCCCATATCCTTGCAACTTTACAATGTCATGCCTTTTTGAAGACATTCAAATTTGTTTTTGTCACTATGATTTCAGGCAATACTGATGTTTTAACTTTTTTTTTAACTTCAGGTCTTAAAGTTGAAGTGACCCACTGTGGCCAGATGAAACGAAAATATCGAGTTTGTAATGTGACTAGACGGCCAGCCAGTCATCAAACGTATGTTAACCACATCTAAAATGATGCCAAAACATTTTTAGTAATAGGGAAAGGTATTATAATCATTTGAAAAATTGGTATCTCATATTTTGATTTTTAAAATCACTGGCATCTTCATGTTTAAGCACCAAAGCTTTAAAAAATGTTTTAAAAGTTTTTGATAGATACTTGTAAAACGTATTTCCTGCCTTGAATTAATTTCACCTCTTAAACAGAGTATGCTAAACATAGAACAACTTTTATATAATGATGCAGAGTCATCATTGTAAGCATCATTTATTATACTGTTGTAATTTTCCATGCATGGCCCAAAGGGTCTATTAAGGCCTGTAAGTCATATAAGGCTGTCATGGGAAGATATATATTGCTTTGTGTTTTGTGTGGGTTTTTCTTCCTTCTTTTGTAGCTAGCTGTCACTTCTTCCAGCTGTCAGTGTGTGCAGTAGCCTCCAACAACACACTCATTTCCACTTCCCCAATCTCATTTTTCTTATTTTTTTATTAAAAATTATTGGGGTGACATTCATTAATAAAATCAAGTAAGTTTCAAGTGTACAATTCAACAGTATGTCATATATATATATTGCATTGTGTGTTCACCCCCCAAAGTTAGGTTTCCTTCCATCACCAAGTATTTGACCTCTTTTAACCCTGTCTACCTCCCCACTCCTTCCCTTCCGTCTGGTAACCACTAATCTACAGTCTGTGTCCATGAGTCTCTGTTTGTTCGTCATGTTTGTTTATTGCTTTGAGTTTTATATCCCACATGAGTAAAATCATGGTTTTCAACTCCCAATCTCATTTTTCAAATTACTCAACTTCTAATCCATTATGAACTATGCCTAATGAAAAAGTATGTATTAAAATGATTGTTAAATTAACAGATATATGTTTTCTTAAAATCTAGATTATTTAAATTCATGTCACATATACATAAATATTGCCTCTTCTAAGTCAAAAGCATGAACTTAAATATAAAAACTTTACATTATTTTGGTTACTAAGAAGGCTTTTAAAATTTTTTAATTTTTTTTGTTTATATTCTAATCTTACTTTGTTTTAGATCTATGGTTCTCAATTTTTAAACTTTAGCGTGTATCAAAAGCTCCTGAAGTTTTGGGTGACCTGTGGATAAATGTGGTATATTAATTCAGTCTGATCTGAATAAATTCTTCAGTCTGAACTCATGTACACATTACATGAATTTCTTAAGAGTTATAAAGTGATATTTCATATATTCATATTATATCATTGACCTCATTCCCTAGGGGGAAAAAATGTTATAAAACCTATAAAATTAGTATTTAGAATTTTAGCATTTCTTTCAAGAGGAATTGTATCTTTTTCATTATTTAATTACTTTACATAACCCTGTAAGAATAATTATACTTATAGACCTACATAATTTTTATATGAAAATTAAAAGCACATACATTTAAATATCACATAAATGATACTGTATTGTTACCTTTTGGAGCTGTAACAGTTAAGAAAAAAAGATTAAAGTTAGTATTGTGCCAGATATTTGAGATAACTTGCCCACCGCAAGAGCCAAATAAAGAGTCTCTTAAATCATGCTCCCCAGTTTATACCAAATACCCTGGCATTGTCTCAATTTCATGTATTTGGTCTTGTTGCTTCTAAATCTGACCTCTAGTGAGTCTGTATTTTATGATTCTATAGCTTCTTCTTCTTTTAAAATCTTTTAAAACTTTAATTAAAATTTTTTCTCATCCTAGATTTAAAAAAACATGGAAAATTCCAACAGAAGCACTGTTCTGATTAAGAACTAAAATGACTTAAATGAAAATGTTCAAATAAATATTGACCTTTGTTTTTTAAGTGACTCATCAAGATAGAAAATGTTAGTAGACTTCTGTTTGTTTGCTTAAGGAAAACAACTTGAAATTTCTAAAAAGACATTGTCTCCTATAGTTTTCCTTTACAGCTAGAAAATGGTCAAGCTATGGAATGTACTGTAGCTCAATATTTTAAGCAAAAGTATAGTCTGCAGCTGAAATACCCCCATCTTCCCTGTCTCCAAGTGGGACAAGAACAAAAGCATACATACTTGCCACTTGAGGTAAGCTAAACTAAATTTTCTTTTGCCAATCTGCCAATTTCTTGAATGAGTTTTTTTTTAAAACTGTATTCTAAGCTAGTGGTAGAATTTAGTATTAATTTCTAAGATATTTTAGGCAGATAACTGTATAATGGAACTTTCTTTTTTCTTTTTTCATTTTTCTTTTTTTCTTTTTCTTTTTTTTGGATATGGAAGATGTAAGATGAAGTTTGGCAGTTTGAAGATAGAGAAGCCCATTACACAAACAAATTTCTCTTTGCCTTTTGGTAGGTCTGTAATATAGTGGCAGGACAGCGATGTATAAAGAAGCTCACAGACAATCAGACTTCCACGATGATCAAAGCCACAGCAAGATCTGCTCCTGACAGACAGGAAGAAATCAGTAGACTGGTCAGTAAGGCATGGTCTTTAAGATAAGCTAGCTTTACGATGAAAAAAACAAAACAGTAGAAACTCCTGATGGGACACAGTTACTCTTTGGTTTTTATATATACAGGCTTTCCTGTTCTTTAGGTGAAGAGTAACAGCATGGTGGGTGGACCTGATCCATACCTTAAAGAATTTGGTATTGTTGTCCATAACGAAATGACAGAGCTTACAGGCAGGGTACTTCCAGCACCAATGCTGCAATACGGAGGCCGGGTAAGCTTTTTATTTTATTCAGCAAGCTTCTTCCAATAACCAGTCAAAAACTGAATAATTGAGGGCTTTTCTACACCACCACAGTGAATTTACCCATAGTTTTGCTCATTATTGCTCTTTGTCTTTTGGCTAATACCAAATAGAGTTCTGTTTATCCCCTCATCAACATTCAAATGGCCTTAGATTGTAATGTATTTTCTCTTTTCTTTTGTTTCTTTTTTGTGTTTTTTTTTTTTAAAAAAAAAAAAGTAGCCCCACCCCAACCGGGGGTCAGAGTTCTGTTTATCCCCTCATCAACATTCAAATGGCCTTAGATTGTAATGTATTTTCTCTTTTCTTTTGTTTCTTTTTTGTGTTTTTTTTTTTTAAAGAATAAAACAGTAGCCACACCCAACCAGGGTGTCTGGGACATGCGAGGAAAGCAGTTTTATGCTGGCATTGAAATTAAAGTTTGGGCAGTTGCTTGTTTTGCGCCTCAGAAACAATGTAGGGAAGATTTACTAAAGTGAGTATCTTCATATTTTCAGCTTAGTAATATCCCTTACAGATATGAAAATACCATCTTTATGTGAATGTGCTGTGTTCACTGGCACTAAATCCCTGACTCCTATAGTGACACCATCTGGCTATAGGAAAAAGGCCTTGTATTATATAGTAAATTGCCAACTTGGGCATTACATTAAGAATCTAAGTCAGCTTCCTTAGATTTAGAACAGAAATTTGTGACTAACAAGGGTGAAGCAGTGCCAGTTGGCAAATTCTTGGGTTCTTAGTGAAGCTTTCTTTGGTATTAATTGTATCTTTTCAGCTAAGATAAAAACTAGTTTATTTTTAATCATCATAATTTACTAGGAAGCGTGTTTCACTGCAGGGTCTCTGACTAAGATCACTGGTTCATATCTTACAGATGCAGCTATTAATATAAAGGAAGTTAGTGAGAAGGGTGGGAAAATCAAGGCAGGAAAACGGAACTGGTATGAAAGAAAAGAATCCTACAAAATATTGGCAAATGCACAAAAGAAACTATTCTGAAAGCTTTATACATAAATCGAAGTAACTTCTTCATTCTAAAGTTTAAAATTTCATAATTTTGCTTTTTTGAAGTGATGATTTCTTTTGACATTTTATGGAATCAAATCTGTTACCAATTTGACTGTAATCCTAAATGCATTGATTTTGTCACAGTGTGTATCTGTGTTCTCAGTGGAACACAAGCTTGCAAGCTTATCCAGCTAGTCTTCTACAAGGCATACCAAAATTACCTGAAATTTTGACTTTACTTTTTCTTCAGTCCAGAATTACTGACTTGAGTGTTTAAAAAAATCTTTGGATAGGAATGGTATTCAAGTCCCTGGGGCCCAGCTGAGGCATAATTATTTAAAAATTCAAAATGATAATCTGATATCTGAATAATATAGATTCTTCTGCATTATAATTGCAGTGTTACATCTGCCAGTCTACTTTGGGCAACCAGTAAAAGATTTTTTTTGTTGTTTATTTGTTTGTGTCTAATTTTACCTAAGAATTTTCAGAACTGAGAGAAGTATCATTAAGAGAAATAAATGCTAAGAATATACTCTGAAATGAAAGCACTGTGCCACTGGTTCTATTTTTACAGGAGTTTCACGGACCAGCTCCGTAAAATCTCTAAGGATGCAGGAATGCCCATCCAGGGTCAGCCATGTTTCTGCAAGTATGCACAAGGTGCAGACAGTGTGGAGCCCATGTTTAAACATCTGAAAATGACATATGTGGGCTTACAGCTAATAGTGGTTATCTTGCCCGGGAAGACGCCAGTATATGGTATGGGACCCCTTTAATGCTGAACGAGTGATGATTTCAATACTAAATGTAACAGTCAGGACAAGTTAGGTTGCGCTGTAGTCACAAACACCCCCACTCTCTCAGTGTCTCAAAGCAGCAGCGGTTTACTTTTTGCTCCTGCTCTGTGTCCATTGAGTGTAGATTGCAGCCTCTATTCCATGTTATCTTATCATTTTCACTCTGGGACCAAGGTTGGCAGAGCAATTGCTATTTGGAATGTGGCCCCATGGAAGAGAGAACAGAGAGCTCTGGAGAGTTCTTAACATCTGCACCTTCTTGGCCACAACCAGCTGTGTAGCCTACGCAGTCTATGTGGGGGAAGTGGGAATGGGCCCAGTAGAATTACACTGGGGCATACAGTGTAATTCTACTGTAGTCCTAAAAACAAGTAGAACTCAAATGTTGGTTAAAAGCACATAAGGATATCAGAATGGGGATGAGTGGGGAGCCTACTACTTCCAGAAAAGGAGTTGTTTAGTCTGTCTACTATAAGAAGAACGATACAAAGTTCTTTTTGCTATCATCCAAGTAAAGGGTTTGGGAATACAGACCAGCTATTTGAACTTTGTAAAATATCTCTGTATTTGCTTCTTTTGTTACCCTCTGTTTATCTCTAATGTTTACAGTGGGGGAAAGGGGAAGAAAACAACTTAAAATTCAAAGGGTTGGTGTGTGTAGTGAGAAAGAAGAGCTGGGGAAATCGATTCCTTTGCCAGGACTGTCCTGTAGGAAAAGGAACCTTGGGGGACTGAGTGAATAATGGCAGACACCATCTTAAAATAAAGAAAGTGGGCTAGCTTCAAGGCCTGCAGGAGGGAAGAAAAGGGGAGGGGGAGGATCTACCCAAACTGGAAAAAAAAAATTGTCCTGGGGGTGTAGTAGATGAAAGGACCACTCATGAAAAACATCTAGCACAGTGAACACCATATAATAGGAACTCTGTAAATGTCAATGTGTGGATTTTTTTCCTCTATTCATGGTAATTAGGAGAATATTTAAACATTTTTATAAATTGATTAACTTAATTTTTTTTTTTAGCGGAGGTGAAACGTGTTGGAGATACCCTGCTGGGTATGGCCACACAGTGTGTCCAGGTTAAAAATGTAGTGAAGACCTCACCCCAAACCCTTTCCAACCTTTGCCTGAAGATTAATGCAAAGCTTGGAGGAATTAACAACGTGCTTGTACCTCATCAAAGGTAAGATTCTGAACTCTGTTTTTCCCACTTTTTTACTAAGATTTAACTTATATAATTTACAGTAAAGCATACAAACCTCAAATATGCATCTCAATTGCTTTTTCTTATGTATGTATACACTCATGTAGCCACCACCTGGGTTAAGATATAGAACATTTCCAGTACCTCATCATGCTTTTTTCTTGCCCTTCCTCATAGATAACTCCCAAAGGTAACCACCATTCTAATCTCTATCACCTGTTTTTGAACTTTATATAAATGGAAGCATACAGTATATACTATTTTGTGTCTGTCTTCTTTTGTTCAGTGTTACATCTCTGAGATTTATTCATGTCGTATTAAGTAATAGTTTATTGTTGTATATTATTTTATTATGTGAATGTACCACAAAATGTTAATCTACTCTACCACTGAAGGATATTCTTGTATATTCATTATATAAGTCTTCTACATTTTTGGTGGACTTACGTACTCTTCCTCTTGGGTACATATCCAGAAGTGGAATTGCTGAGTTATAGAGAATACATATATTTCACATTAATAAATGCTATCAAATAGTTTTCCGAATTGGTTGTGCTAATTTACATTTCCACTGAGCGTTCTGGTTGCTCCATATTCTCACCAATGCTTGGTGGTATCAGTTTTTTTATTTTTAGCCATTTTGGTTGAGGGTAACAGCATCCCATTAATGTTTTAATTTGCACTACCCTGACTACAGTCATGTTGAGCACATTTTCATGTGCTTATTGACTATTTGGACATACCATTTTATGATAGGCCTGTTGAGTTCTTTGCCCATTTCTTAGACTGGGTCGTCAGTCTTTTAATTAATTTGTAGTTTCCTTATCTATTGAGATAATATGACTTGTTAACTCTAAGATGGTTTTATGCCAAAGGGCTTTGAAAAATTAAATTTAGGGCTGTGATATTAGTCATTGCCATACTTAAGAAGGTGAAATTGACTAACGTTTGGACAATCATATCACAATTCTCATTTTTGTTCTTGAATGAAACTTTCAGGTAATTAAATCTTTCCTGTAACATCGGTAGATGAGGTATACAGGCCATAGGGGAAATTAACCTAAAGTCTGAAATCATTAATTTTACCCAAAACATTTGAGACAGTGTAGCATAGTGGCTTAGAGTACATACTTCAGTGTCAGACTTCCTGGGTTTGGATTCCAGCTTTACTGCTTCCCGGACATGTGATCTTAGGAAAGTTCCTTATCCTCTTATCCTCAGTTTTTAAATCTGAAAATTGAGAAGATAATTGTATCACCCTCATAGAATTCTTGTGAGAACTAAATGAGTTAACATATATAAAGTACTTAGACAGTGGCAGGTACACAGTTATGTAAGCTGTTATTATGTTATATTTATGTATGTTAGGTATACACATTCACTGTTGTGCTGCTCTGTGCCAGGACTATGTTGTATGATATTTATAAATACAACATAGCCTCTGTCCTCACGGAGGTACCTATTCTTTAATACTTATTACATCTTTAGTGCCTGTTATATGAGATTTTTATATTTGGGATGCCTCCAAGATTATACTTTAAGAATCAATATTCAGTTCCAAATCTTACTTTTAAGAATTTATTCGAGACTTCTGTGATATTTTTCTTCTTGATTCCTCAGAGAAATCAGTGCCAAATAAATGAATTCATTCTTTCAACAAGTATTTATTGACTGCCAACTGTGAGCCAGGCGGTGTTCTAGGCACTAGAGATAAAGCAGTGAGCAGGACAAAACAAAACAAAATTCCTGCCCTGTGGAGCTTACATTCTTTGTGTGTGTGTACAATAAATAAGTAAAATATGTGGTGTAAGTGTTAAGTGCTATCGATAAAAATAAAACAGGGAAGGAGATAAACTTGATTCTCTTTTCTTTTTCACGTCTCACATCTTAAAAAGAATTGGGTGTTTTATTTACATTCTGCAATTCAGTATCCATTGTAAGAATTCCCATGAACCCAAGAAAACCTGTTCTAGAAAAGTTTTCCCTTTTAAATTTGAGTCAAGTCCTCTTTTTTAATTCTTCCCTTCCTACTATTACAGAAGAACCATCTTGACTTCTGCAGTCAATTCACATTCATTGTATGGGGTGCCACAGATACTCATTGAGCCTTAGAGTTCTCTCTCAATGGGCACAAGTCTTTATTCTTTCTTATAAGATTATATCTGTGATTGTATCTGATGAGCTTGCTAAAACCTAATATTTTCATCTGTATATCTGAGTGGCAATGTCTCCTTAAATCTGAGCAGGCCATCCGTGTTCCAGCAGCCTGTCATCTTCCTGGGAGCAGATGTCACACACCCTCCTGCAGGGGATGGGAAGAAGCCTTCCATTGCTGCTGTCGTTGGCAGTATGGATGGCCACCCCAGCCGGTACTGTGCCACTGTTCGGGTACAGACTTCCCGCCAGGAGATCTCTCAGGAGCTCCTCTATAGTCAGGAGGTAATCCAGGACCTTACTAACATGGTTCGAGAGCTGCTGATCCAGTTCTACAAATCCACACGCTTCAAACCCACACGGATCATCTATTACCGTGGAGGGGTATCCGAGGGACAAATGAAACAGGTACTCTCATTATCCCATAGTTACCCATAGTTACCCTTTGGGGCTTCTAGGTATCTGCCACTCTGCGTAAATCAGATCTGAGAGATACTAGGTGAGTTCTCAGTTAAATGTCATTCCATTTCTAACTCCTAGGTAGCTTGGCCAGAACTAATTGCAATTCGAAAGGCATGTATTAGTTTGGAAGAAGATTACCGGCCAGGAATAACCTACATTGTGGTACAGAAAAGACATCACACACGACTCTTCTGTGCAGATAAAACAGAAAGGGTAAGAAAACACAAGATAAGCTTCATTATCTGATGCAGATAAATGTGTTTTTAAGTGGGCATACATATGATTTTTTTTTCTAAAAACAGAAGTGACAAATAATAATCTAATATACTAACTACAGTTGATCTTATATGATTAATTCTGAATTAATTGCTATTTGCTACTTTTTGCTGCTAGTGTCTGAGGCACAGTTCTAGAGTATTAAGAATTTCTCTTCTAAATAATTTTATATCTGTGGAGATGTTAAGGTACAAATTTTGAACATTTATGATGTCACACTTATTAACCATGGACAGGTTGCTTAACTTCTCTAAGCCATGATGTTCTCATTATATAAAAAGTATTGAAAACAATACCTATCTCAGAGTTGTTGTAAGGATTAAATTAATAAATAAATGTTAATTTGGGGTACAGTTCCCAGCACTTGATAAAAGACATTTTGTTTAATCTGTTTATGATCTGATATTTATGTGTAAACTAGGTAAATACATGATATTAGATGACTTTACTTCTATGATATTTTTGATAACATTACTTCATTTTTTCTGGGTCCTCCCTGATCTACCCCCAGGGAGACCAGTTCTCTCTGTTGCCTACTCATATAATCTTGTGGGTCACTCCCTTATTTTCTAGTACGCCCTTAGTTTTTGTCTCTAATCCAAGCCTGAGCCATTTCTTTTTGTTTTCTGAATCATTGCAGAATTAAGGTTTTTCTCCTTGGGCTCCAATCAGATCAGATTCAAAGTGCTGTTTTCCCCATTGCCCAAACCCTGACTCAGTAGTACTTCTTAGACTCTGCTAATACAAAGTCTCTGAACTCTTGCCTGAGCTTCGGGCACAAAACATTCTGCCACCCCTGCCTTAACTGCATGGTCACCTTTCCATTCCTCTGTCAGCTTGCTATCCACGTAGCTTTGAGACCTGGATTATCTTTCTAAAATCTCAAGCTATCTCATAGTTTTGTTCTTTACCATCCAGTGTCACTCCTAACCATTCAAGATTGACAGTTCCAGTCCTTGGTCTACTGTGCACCCTGACACTTACCAACATCTTCAGTGCCTCTTGCCAATCTCCAACTCTGAACCAGTTGACTTGCCCATTTTCATTGCTTCTATTTAGGCTGGTAGAGATGGCTGTAGAAAAAAGTCATTTGTTTTCAAATTCATGATAGCAAATCTCAACCATGTTACAAATTCATGATAGCAAATCTCAACCAGGCCTTTGAGGCTGTAATTTTTTCATTTATTTTATTCTCCATAGCATCTGTTTCAAACCTTTATACTCTTCTTAACTCCCCAGCCCCTATTCATGACATCTTCATTGCCAGTAATTTACATTGCCAACAACAGAACAACCTTCTATTTTCCCCAGAAAACAAAATCTAGAAGGCATAGCTTTTCTTGGCTTCTCCTCTACCTTCAAATTTAGTTAAGCCTCGTGTTTTTTCATCTCCTTCCTCACATCGCAGAGGCTAATCCTCTCCACCTATGCTTTCTTTCCCCTGCCTATTCTTTGTCCCTCAACTTTTCCCGCCTCGCTTCATTAATTACCCATTCTTTTCTAAAGTTTCATTCTTTCCCATTCTATTACCTCCTCTCCTCACCCTCTAAAGTTTCCCAGCTCTTCCTTAGTCCCCCAAATAAACTTCTCTTTGCTCTGTTTCTCCTTCAGTCTACTTGCCACCTTATCTTTCCTTCCTTTCGTGACCAAACTTTTAGGAAGAAAATGACTAGACTTTCTATCTTACCTTCTCATATCATACTTCACTTCTCTGTAGCCTGACTTTAATTTCAGCGACTCCACTTAAGTCGCTCTCTTAATGACTTGCTCATTTTGATTCTAGCAATATCTTGTCAGGTCCCCACACTGACCTCTTTGCAGCCTTCTTTGGCCTTAGCACTGTGACTGTCCAGGCTCACTACCCACCTCTGTAATCAGGCTTTCTTTGGGTCCTCTTATTCCTCTGTTTGTTAAACACTAATGTTTCCTGGCATTTCACACTTTTACCTCTTCTTTTTTCGATTTCAACTCTCTGTAGGCTCACCCACTTCTCTGGATTCACTTATTTGCTTATAGATTCCTAAATCTGTATTTCCAGCCGCAAACTTTTCTATGTAGTATCTGACTTGCACTTCTAATTATCTACCAGACAAATTTACTATCATACTCTATAGGCATTATATCAGTCAAGATAGGCTAGGCTAGCCTGTGCTGTGGTAACAAAAAAACTCCAACATCTTAGTGGCCTTCAAAGATTTATTTCTTGCTCACATTACACATTCATTGTGACTCTGCAGCAGCTGTGACCCTGCTCTCTTCCCTTTAGAACCTAGGCTGACAGAGAAGCATGTATCTGGAACATTGCCAGCCATTGTAGCAGAGGGGAAAAAAGATACACGATGAGCCAAGTGCTGGTTCTTAAAGCATCTTCCCAGAAGTAACACATTTCAGGCCACATTTTATCTTCCAAAGCAAGTTACATGGCAACTCCAGAGTTAATTGGGTGGGGAAATATAATCCTCCCCCAGGGATGGGCACAAGACTATTTGGCAACAGTGATGCAAATCTACCACAGGCATTTCAAGCAAAACACGTCTAAACCTTCTACTTACTGTTTTATCCTCATCCAAAACATATTCCTCCCCCAATTTTTCTTTTCTTCTGTTACTTGGCATCAATGTACATTAAGTCAGCCAATCTAGAAACTTCAGAATTGTCTTTAAATTATTCTCCTTTCCTGTCACCCCATATCCAGTTGGTTAAATAGTCCTCTGCCCTGAAATCTCTTGTCTCAATTTTTCTTCTTGTGTGTTCCCTCTGCCCTAGGTAGAACTTTTCTGTATTGCAGGAGACTCCTAGCAGTCTTCATTCTTCCTTCACACATGCATCCTCTGCCTGCTGTTTTTCTGTGGTGTTTAGTATTGTCCCAATGTAGCCAAAACATTACATTTTAGTTTCATATTTCAACATGCCTTCACATACCTTCCATTTCCCATATACATTGCATTTTTATACCTGTAATGCCCATATCCATCCCATACCTTTTTCCATTTTTTTATTAAGGTATAATATAGATAGAGTAAAATTCACCCTTTTTTAGTGTACTGTTCTTCAAGTTTTGACAGATGCATATAGTTGTATAACCACCACCTCAGTAAAGAAGATATAGAATCAGACACACAAATTCTCTTATGCTCTTTCGTAGTCAACCCTTTTCCTCAGTTACAGTCCCTGGCAACCACTGATAGGTGTTCTGTCTCTATAGTTTTGTTTTTTCCCAGCATATCATATAAATGGATTCCCATAGCTTTTGAGTCTGGCTTCTTTCACATAGCATGATGCATTTGAGATTCATCCAGGTTTTCATACGTGTAGTAGTTTGTTCCTTTTTATTGCTGGGTAGTATTTCATGACATGGATGAACCACAGTTTGTTTATACATCCCTGTCTTAAGGAAATATTTGGAGAGTTTCCCATTTTTATCCCATCTCCCCTCTTAACTGCTGCTTACCCTGTAAGGCATGGCTCTGTTGTTTCCTCTCACCAGCTTTTCCCAGTGCCTTCCATAATGCCTTTATCATATTTCATTGCAGTTCAACATCTTGAACTAAACTGCTTTGCAAGAGCAGTTTACTAATTTATTACCAATTAACGTATAAAAGAAAAAAAATGGCCTAAGCTTAGTTTGGCACTTTGATGACTAATTACACTTTTTTTTTGGTAGGTGGGTAAAAGTGGCAATGTACCAGCAGGCACTACAGTGGATAGCACCATCACACATCCATCTGAATTTGACTTTTACCTCTGTAGTCATGCAGGAATTCAGGTAATTTGGAAGTTGGTCCAGATCTTTGACTTGATAGAGAGATGTTTGCAAATTTAGCACCTAGCTTGAGTAGACTTGTTATTAAATACTGTGCATAACTTTGTTAATGCTTGTCTTCTAGAACTGTTGTCTTTTGGTCTAGGTATCTGCTTATAGGTGTGCTAGGCAGGAATACTTCTGAGTTTAAGGAGTATATTTCAATTCTTCTCTCTGGTAGTCAACCCATGTCAGAAATATATTAATCATAAAACTCTCTCTCCAGGGAACCAGCCGTCCTTCACATTACCAGGTCTTGTGGGATGACAACTGCTTCACTGCAGATGAGCTCCAGCTACTGACTTACCAGCTGTGTCATACCTATGTGCGGTGCACACGCTCAGTCTCTATTCCAGCCCCTGCGTATTATGCCCGGCTTGTAGCATTCAGAGCAAGGTATCATCTCGTGGATAAAGATCATGACAGGCAAGTTTCTCAGGCACAATAAAATCTCTTTCTGTGTGTTAGCAGCATGTTTTAAAAAAATGAGCTCCTACTGAAAAGTCTTTGGAGAAGGTTAATTTTCTTTTTAAGGTTTAAATTGCAAGGAGAGAATAAAATTGCACATGTCTTTGAGAACTTATAATGTGACTTTTGGTCCAAGAAATGATCAGGCCTGTTTATACTTGTATGGTGTGCCTAAAGTCTGCCTGAGGAAAGGAATCTAATTTGGAGTTGCCGGTGGTTTTGGAGTTGCCCATAGAGCCAAATGCATTTCACTTCTGCTCAGGTCCTCAGCAGCCTCAGAAGGTGGCCAACACAGTGTCCTGGCTCTAGTCAGAGCAGTCACAGGCCTGTGGATCCTACTTCATACAGGGAAAGTCCTAACCAGTTCACTTTGCCTTCAGTACAATCTGGAAGAATGCACTAGAGTGAACCTGGATGTGTATGTGGGAGAGGAGGAGTGCCAGACCATTCTTATGCTCAAGTAGGGATCCCAAGAGAATCAGACATTTTGACCTGTTACTGAGCTACTATTAAATAGCTAAACAAGTTCTCTGCAGTAATTTTCTTTTCCAAATGACCATCTGTGAAGTGTAGCAATTTCTGGGCTCTTCCCCAAGTCTGAATTCAGCTGCTAAATAGTAGACATTCCACTGCAAGTCTATTTCTGTAAGGGTTGAAAATACGCTATTATGGAAAATGCCCAGCTGTGACTTTTGTACCTTTCATTCTGTAGTATACATTCATTCATTCGACACATTTATTAGGCATTGACTGTGTGCCCAGCACTGTGCTAAGTACTAAAAATACTAAGACGAGGAGCACATGTTCCTGGGATTTTATGTTTCAGTATGGGAAATAATACAGATAAACATAGAACTGACAATTAGCCCAGAGCAGTATAGGTGGACGTGCAATGGGACATCAGAGGAAAGGCTGTTAGAAAAGATTTCATAGCTGGATGGATAAGATTTGGCTCTACAAAGAAGAGAAAAGGATTTTCCAGGCAGAGGGAACAATGGACACAAAGAAGAGAAAGCAAGTGACATGTTTGGACAATAGCAAGTTTTCTTTGGCTGAAGCATATGAAAGGGAACCAGCAGGCATGAAGCTGGAAAGTATGTTAGAGCAAAATTGTCTTTGTTATATGTAAAAAGCTATTCCTGGAATCAGATAGACAGTACTTAACAGTTAATTGGATGTGAGTGGGTGAGAGGAGTCAGAAGAGGGATGGTGATTTATAGTTTACCAAGAGCTTTATAGCATATGGCACCCTTAAGAGGTATGTTCAGAAGTTGTTATTGTTATCCTGAAAGAGTAGAGTTCAGAGGAGTTGTTACTTCTCCAAGGTCACTTTAGCTAGTGAGGGGAAGACAAGAAGAAACTGGTAGCATGATAACATTTGCTGAGTTTTTACTATGTTCCAACACTGAGCTAGGCACATACATTTATTTATTCATTCAACAAATGATTATTGAGACTATACTGTGTGCTGGGCACTAGAGATTCAGTGGTGTGTAAGATAGACAAAGTTGCTGTTTTCTTAGAGTTATATCCCAGTGGGGAAATAAATAATTATCCAATTAATAATTTAATTTTACTTGTTTCTTTCAAATGAAAGAAAAGTAGAAGATCTGTTCCAGGTGGCTCTGACCTAAACTTTAGAGTCAGGGAAAATTTCTCTGGGGGAAATGACATTTGAAGCCTAAAGGAAAAGTAAGCATTAACCAGACACAGTGGCCAATGTAAGTCCTTATGGAGGCACCATTAAGGATTTGGGTCTTTGTAGACATTATTTAATTATTACGTCAGCCACTAAATAAGTTATATTGCATTTTCCAGTTAAGCAACTGATATTTAGAGAAATAATACAAACTATTTAAGGAACCACAGCTTGAGCCTAAGATTTTGAATCCAGTACTATTTGTGCTATTTGAAACATGCGAAGTTTGAAATGATCTTTTGTTACACGTGTTTTTTTGTCGTTTTTTTTGTTTTGTTTTGTTTTGTTTTGTTTTTTTGCTTTATTCTCTTTACAGTGCAGAAGGCAGTCATGTGTCAGGACAGAGCAACGGCCGAGATCCTCAGGCCTTGGCTAAAGCCGTGCAGATCCATCATGATACCCAGCACACAATGTATTTTGCCTGAGAGTCTCAGAAGAATAGCTCAACCAATTTGGCACCCCATGCAGCCTCAAAATGTTTCAAATGCCTACTGCCTCTAGAGAGAGCCAAGTTGACTTCAGGTTGTCTTCTACCAGCAGCTCGGAATAGTTGCACTGAATATATACTTCACAGCACTGTCTGATGCATCAACAAAATTGAGCCATTTTTTTTAAAGTAATAGATACTCATAGATTGTCTTTTCTGATGCACTGGACTGAATTTTTACCTCAACATGCAAAGGCTGATCAGCCTGAACTTTCTAAAGGACTTTACAAGAAAGGTTTCTATGGAATATTTTGCTAGCTGTGGTGTTCACCGCATCCCTCTAGTCTTATAAAAGAAGATTATTCCTTTTTTCTGTATTCATCGAGTGGGATGTATGCATAAGTGGGAGAGAAAAACCAAACAATCTACTTCGGTTCAGCGTAACTATTTACTCGTGTGGGTCCATAGACTTTTTAATGGAGATTTCTGACTTCGCCACTGTAAATGCCTTTAATGAGCATTAATTTTGAAAGTTTTACAGAGTTTTATTAGTTTTACTACTTAATCTTATTGATCTTTACAGACTTGTGCTAGTGCAAGTCTAAGTCTAGGCTGCCAAGCAATTGCACTATATTTGGCTCCAGATTCAAACAGGCAGTTCTCTTATTTGGTTGACTTTTGTGAATGTGTAACACAAACAGATATAACGCATGTCACGGTGACAAATAACACTGCCATGGTAAAAGTACTCATGTTTCCCCCTCTTTGAAAAAAATTAGCTGTTAGTATTTTTCAAAGTTTTCAAAAGTGCCCATTTTATGCTGCTGTGTGGTTTCTTAGATCTAAATGATTTTTAAACTTTTCTCATAGAAAGTTAACTTTGGCAATAAACATTTTTTAAGATCCTTCCTCTTCCTTCCCCTGACAATGTAGTTTTGTAGATGAGATTTCGGTATGATTTTATCAGCTATTTCTTATAGATCATAATCTGGCAATTTCTGAAACAGTCAGAAAAGACATATATTTCCATGCCTTTTTAAAGAATTATTTTTTATCTGTTTTATAGTCACAGTTGGTGTCCTGTCACTTTGTTTTAAAATAAGCTAGAACCAGGATGCTTCCTTACTGGATAGGCTTTGCCAGTCCTTAAGGTACATTGAGTGATGCTGCAACTTGCAAAAATGTACCAGCATTTAAAACTTTTTTTCCTGGGAATCAAGGTTACTTATACAATTACTTGCAGTGCAAATTTTGTGCTTCTTTATCAACCTGAAATGTACTTGGTGAGGTTTCCTTCCTTTTATTAAATGAAAACTGCATAGAAAGGTTGATTTTTCTTAATAGATTCTGGATTCCGATCACTGGGAGACGGGATTCCAAACAAACGGATCTAAAGAGTATCAGTT